TGCGACTATTGTGGTTCAATTGGTTCAGCTGAAAAAAGATAAGTCAATTACAAGGTGTGCATTAGCATTGTTGGAAAGAGTATCATTGATTCCAAGTTTCATTTGTTGATGCATTATTCATAACACTAAAAAAGTTCAAAATTTATTTGGAAACTAAGGAGGTGCATGCACACACATGGAGAATTTGTATAAACCTGAAACTTTGGGTCATCATTCTGAGCTAGTGTATTTGCAAGCATACGAGTCTGCTCCATTGCAGCTAAGTTTGCCATATTTGCACCTCTCATATGATCTGCAGACATCAACTGGGACTGTTCCTGTAACCAGTAGAAAGAGGTAAATATCTATCATTTTAGCTATATCCATTTAACTTGATTCTAACTTCGGAGTCCAAATCCTATTACAACTAGGAGTATCAAGCAACATATGCACATTGTCTTACTCTTTCAGTTCAAGGTGAGCACATGAACAATAATGTGATGGAACCTAAACTAAGGTGATAAGCCTTGCTTAATTAAGGTGTCAAACCTTGGATATCTCTTCTGCTTTTTCATTTTTTTTAAGGGAGTTTCACTAAAACACCCAAAATGGGGGCTTAAATTATAAAAAAACCCAAGCACTATTTAAACATATAAACACACCCAAAACCCATCATTACACACACTCAAAATCCATTTATAAACACACCCAAAAAGTTGACTTTGGGGTTGATTTTGGGTGTGTTTCTATGTTTAAATAGTGCTTGGGTTTTTCTATAAATACATGTCTAGGATTGGGTTTATTTATAAATTTGTATTTTTTTAATTTATATTTCAAGCATACTCCACCATTTATCACTTGTTCCAAACCTCAAAAAACATCTGTAAGGCTCTTTTGTCTTCACCATCAACAAGCCCCTGCTTCCAGGATTCCCAAAACTATAAATATTCACTGCCTACAAATAATCCCCAAATCCAAGCGACTATAGCTGAAGAAAATTGCAACTTACCCTAAAAAAGCCAATTATTTTTCTACCACCAATTTAACCTCATCCACACATTTACAGATGTCTTTAGTTCAACTAAAACAAAACTATGATAGCAAGAACTACTTGCAACTGTTGTTCTGCAATACATCACAAAGGTCAATGGTTGACCAATAGCACATAAGTCTAGAATTGATGGATGTGATTGAAATACAAACTACAATACTCCTTTACCTGCTCAAATTCAGAGGCCCAACCATTGGCACCATGTTGTCGCTCAAATGAGTGAGCCCACGCATTAGGATCACCATGATCTACTCTGTGTTGGTTAAATTCAGTCACCCATCCTTCTGTAGCGTGAGCACCAGGTTTCACTATAGCTTGGGATTCATTCCAATAATCCTCCAGTTCCCGAAACCTTGCAGGCAGAGGTCCTTTACTGTTGACATCACTCTCGATATCTAGAGAAGATAGAAGTGCATTTACCTGGAAAAGTAAAAAGTATTAAATCAACCGAAACTGTTGAGAAAATGTCTTGCAGAGAACAGGACAAGGCATCTTTAACATGAACAACTCAACAAACAAATTGCTGATACAGATCCGAAGACATGCAAGAAATGACAATGATCCGGAAAAAATTTTACTCTAGGGTGCTCATAGAGCAAACCAAAATGACATATTTTACTAGAAAATAAATAAATTTAAATTTCTAACTGAGAAATTCTAAATATGTATGCAAATCGCAGTAAAGAAAATAAGAGAAAATTAGAGGGATAATGATAAAATGTTCAGTCAAATCTCAACTTGTGAACGCCTGAACTGTTGACAATGGTGTTCATCCCTACTTAGCTTACTCCATGAAGGAATATTCATAATTGGAGCAAATAAAAGCAACCGAAGAACTTTTGAAGGATACGATACAATTGAGGTAAGAGAAATAAAGTTCCAAACCTGCCCATTAATAAAATCTTCACTTTTATCTGCAAAAAAATGTCGGGCCATGATGCTGGTGCGATCACGTATGCACCGTTTGTCACCGGCGGACAATCCTAACACTGGAAGTGGAGCCGGACGGAAAGGCATTCCACCACGGCTACTTTCAACAAATGAGTGCAAAAAGCTTGACAACACCCTTTGTGGTGGCCCTGAAACACACAATTAGAAAGGAGATAAATCTCAAAAATAATCTTCAATCCTTTAAGCTGAAGATAGATACTGCTCCTGGTTATTTGATCAGAAAGAGACCCTCGCGCAATTGAATATAAAAGAAAGAAATTTCTACATGTTAAATTCCTTTTTCTTTTATTTTTTTCTTTTTTTTTCAATCTACCTGTTAGCGTTTTGGGGGAAAATGGTTGTTTTGTGTGTGGTCCATATGCCACATTAGGCCAAATGATGATTGGCCATCCCATATATAAAGTTCATTTACCACTTTCAAAATGTCCTATTGCTCCATTAAGTCCATAAACACCAGAAAAAAGATAAACAAGCTGCTTTCTATGTCCAGAAATTCTACTTGATCTTAGAATGTTGTGCTCAATACTCCCTCTCTCATCCATAACCCTACTTTTGAGTGGACATACACACGGACAAGTGAACTCTTCTTTGGGTGACCTGGAGCACTTAGGTAGTCCCTATTAACATGGAAAATATAAGGCGGTTTGGCATCATATTCTAGTATTCAACCTAAACGCCTAGAAGGATAGGCTCAAAAGGTGCATATGGCCAGCAAGATTGAGGCACTAGTGCACAAAGCAAGAAGCTTCAAGCAGACCTTTTGCCTTATTATAAAATACTACCATGAAGCTGGAAGAGGATACACATCTTATAACTCATCTGATAATAGAAATAACAAAAGATCATTTCTCTTTCCACCATGAACTATAAAATCTCAATAATGTATCGCTAAGATTCTTAAATGTATAATGATCGCTTCCTGGACTCACTTGGGCCAAAGAACTGTTTCACACATTAACTGGCAATTAAGAAAGTTTAACTAAACTTTTCAAGCTTCTTCCTTACTTCAAAGTTGAGCCCTTCAAGAAATATCATAAAGTAGCTCTGACATCCAAACCTTCAAAAGTATCCCATGCTGTGTTTTCTTTTCATTTCTAAATGCCAGCTTTTGTCTCTTGATCTTCTGCCAAACACTCTTCCTCAAGCAACTCTACTAATCTTTAATGTTGGTAAACAGAACCCAATTCTCCTTTCTTGAACAAGCATCTTGTGATTTATATATTCTCTAATGTTACTAAGCTCAAGCGTTGGCAAGCAATTAATAACATGTAGGAAACAAATAGTATAAAAACTAAAAATTTGAGAGATTTACCATCCAAAGTCGGTTGAAGCTGAGGAGCAGCTCCAAGATCATAAATGCGGTCAAGTTGAGGAACATGCATAGGCGGAGGTTGAGAACTCTGTATCTCATCCCACGCATTGTCAAGTAGTCTATTGCCGTCAACAGAGTTGAAGTTTCGAAGAAAGTCCGAGCTCTGAACAAAACGACAACGCAAACTAAGTACAAGACTAGAAGAGAAGGCAGTGAAAAAAGATTAGAGCTTCGATTGCCAGTACCTGAGTGCCAGGTTGCATAAACGGCTGCTCAAACTCCGAGCCAGGGAGTTGCTGCAGGTGGCCATGGGCGTCCGGATAAAACTGCGGCTCAGAAGCTGTGGGCGTGGATTGAGGTATCTCCTTCAACCTTTCCTGCGCGTGAATTGTACAGAAGCATGAGAAAACGACGCCGTAGAAGCCACTGATGATGAAATTGAGGATCGAAAATTCAAAACGAAGAAGAGAAACCGAAATTGAAAAGAGCGAAGAGGGAGACGACGAACCTGTGTCTTGGAAGAGGAGCCGATAAGAGCGTTGGCGAGAGCACCGAAAGGATTGGCGGAAGAAGATGATCCTGGAACCGCACAAGCTGCACCGCCAGTCACAAGCTCGCGCATCGCCATGGTCGATGGTGGTCTTCTTCTTCTTCTTCTTCCTCTTCAATCCACAACAGAATTATACAACAACCACCACCACCACTGTTTTTTTTTTTCTGTGTTATTAAATATGTAAAATAAAATAAAAATGAATAAATTTAAGTCGGTTGGTTGGGTTGGGAATTGAGAATATGTAGAGATTAATCTTTTGGGGATAACAGCTTTTGATGGCTTCCAGATCCTCTCGGTTGTCTTCGCCTGCCAAAGTTATCAATGAATTTCAATTTTCCTTTTTCCTTTATTATTCTTATTATTATTTTGGTTCATCTTCCTCGTTGGGTCGTGTGACGCTGCTGACGTGGGCGAAAATACACAACTTGCCTTTGTCCATGACCTCTCTATCTATAGTTGGGTAGAATTTTGTTTTTAACAATAAAACTCCAGCTTTCGTCCAAAAAAAACAATAAAACTCTAGTAAATTTCAGTTTTTTTTACTTGCAAATTGGGAGAGTAAGAATTTGAAGCTCGTGCGTATAAGTAACTGCCCGTAACTATTGAAGTTACATTTTTGCTCTAAATTTTAAATCATTCAACTTGATTTATCAAGGTCATTATGAGGACTCAATCTTAAAAAATTGTGAACAATTATTTGAAGTAGAACTTAAAAAAGATCGATCATTTTATACCAAGGTTGAAAGAGTGATTTGTATTTTTTATGAGTTGTGTTATGGTCAATCTTACATGTGCGTGAGTGATTTTTTATGTATGTAATCACAATGTATAAAATTTAAGCACATAAATCTTGTGTTACCCTTAAGTTACATATAGTTGAGTGCATAGTGGCCTCTCTTCTTTGTTTTTCTTTCCTTTTAATAAGGAAGGGATATCAGAAGAGTGGTTTCTATCATTTATTTTTATTTTTATTTTTATTTTTATGTAAGGAAGGGAATATAGGATTTTATTATATTGTGGGCCCATAAGAATTTGTGGCCTGGGCCAGATTGCATTGAATCGTTCCAAAACACAGGCTGAGGCCCAACCCCTGAAACGAACTGACCGAGTGTGAGTTAGCAACTCGGAAATTGGAAGAATAAAACAGTAAAAAAACTAGAGAAAAACGAAGCAAAAGAGCAAAAGAAGCAAAACGAAGAGCCAAAAATCCCCAAATCGGAAATCGGGAGAATGGCAGAGTCGTCGAGCAGCGGGCTGACGTTCAAGCTTCACCCTCTGGTGATCGTGAACATATCGGATCACTATTCTAGGGTTAAGTCTCAGATGCACCCGCCCATCACCAACACAGCGACAACAACAACAACGCCACCAACCAACAATGGCGCCGAAGGAGCAGTAGAAACAGCGCCTTCTTCTTCTTCGTCCTCTGCCTTGGCCTCGTCTCCGAGGGTCTTCGGCTGCGTTATTGGGGTTCAGAGGGGCCGCACAGTCGAGATCTTTAACAGCTTCGAGCTCCTTTATGATCCTGCAACTCACTCCCTCGACCGCGCCTTCCTCGAGAAGAAGCAAGAGCTCTGTTGCGTTCTCGTTCCTTAATGAGTTTTCATTTATTTTTGTGTGATGGTTTTAGGGTTTCAATGAATGTTTGCGCTAACCCAATAATCTTTTTCTTTCTTTTGTCAGATAAGAAGGTGTTCCCGCACTTTTACATACTGGGATGGTACTCTACGGGTACTGATGCTCAGGAATCTGATATGAACATCCACAAAGCTGTAATTTTCATCACCTTTCTCATTGCATATGCTTATGTGCAACTTTTACCTTTTGGAATCCCTAAACACTATATTATGTGACACTTTCAAAGACCTAATCACGTCAACTATGAACCCATCAAGGGTTCTTTCTTGAATTTGAAATTCTATTGCCAAAGTTTCAATTAATTGCACACTAGAGCTTTGTGCTAGGGACCAATGCTGTCTGGATGCATGTTTCTTTTTAGTTATGATGATTAAGATGCATTTTAGTTCCGCATTGATAATAATGCTGCGTGTTTACTTTGTCACAGTTGATGGATATCAATGAAAGCCCTGTTTATGTTCTCCTCAACCCTTTGATCAACCCTGCCCAAAAGGATCTCCCAATCACTATTTACGAAAGTGGTATGTCAGCTGCATTGTTATCTTACTATGTATATGAGCTTTTTGTGAGCATTGCCAATTAGTTGTACACCTAGGATTTTCCCCCATTTTTTGAATTACCTATGATATCTTGTGTCACTGTGTCATTATCCATAGCTGATGTGTGAGTTTGCACGTGTTATCTTCCTGCAGTATACATGCAGTTCATTCTTCTTCCTATATACTAGCATGGATCACTTATTTCTGTTTACACTGGTTGGTTGTTGTTTGTTTGAGGTTCTGTATTGGAATCATCCATTTTTTGTGCTGCCTAAGCAGCAATGCTCGAGAAACTATGGCAAACTAAAGTGCTATAGTGCCAGTGCCATTTCTTTCTAGATACTCTTTAAGATAAGGTTGCCCATTAAACTTCGTTGTTGTTCAGGCTTTGTCGTTTTGTAGTAAGTAGGCTGTTCTTTGCGTCTTGGCATGTTTAGAATTTCCATATAAATAAATAAAAACCCTCACATTGATGATGTGCTGCTACAATTTTATCAATTTCGGGCTCTCCTTTCTCAATGTTATATAGGATTTTTTTTTTCTTTGTTTGTTGTATAATTAATAGTTCCTTTAATTCTCATTAGTTCTGTTAAAGTCATGGTCCCAAGTGAAATCCATGTGCTGAATTTTTGTGATTTTTTTTACTAGTATAATTCGTTAGGGTCTCCCCCCTTTTGTAAGTGAATGGTCTTGGAAGTTCTTTTTCTTTTCTCCCCCCAAATATTCTAGAGTTCATTCTTATGAGAACTTATGTGATTTGAACAGATTGCTTGCTTCATATAGTTTCTGTTTATATGTTCACTGTCTTAACTATTTTTGGTTTTGTGGTGTTAACATTACAATTCCAGAGCTGCATGTCATCGATGGGATTCCACAGCTGATTTTTGTCAGTTCAAGTTACACGATTGAGGTTAGACATATTCATTCTTATCTACCTTAAATGTTATTAACTATTATCAAGCAGGGTTACTAATACATTTTATTTTTTTATTTTTTTGTGTTTCAAAGACGGTAGAAGCTGAACGTATCTCAGTGGATCATGTCGCTCATCCTCTCTCTCTCTCTGTAATTGTGTGGAGGTATGTGTTTCATCTATTTCTGATTAGAACCTGGTCTGTGGATTTTGTGCAGTGGCTGCTCATCTTACAGGAATTCACAGTGCCATCAAGATGCTAAATAGCAGAATTAGAGTGCTTCATCACTATCTTCTAGCTATGCAGAAAGGTGTGTACATGCTTTTAGTAGAAGATGATGGATTCATTATTAACGTAGATATCACTATGTGAGTACATTAGTTTTCATAAAGAAGCGAAGGCGAAGGTTACAATCAACCCCCAGAACTTTTAAAAAAAAGAAGAAGATAAGACAAGCCCCAAAAACATAATTTAACCCCTCTTTAAACTGAGTTAGATGCCTAAACGAGTCTTATACCTCAGAACTAATAAAAACAAGAATTTGTAATAATTGCTCCTGTTTCCTTGTATGCAGGTGATATACCTTGTGAGAATTCTCTGCTAAGGCAAGTATCAAGTCTTCTGAGGAGGTTGCCTGCCATTGAATCGGGGAAATTTCAAGATGATTTCTTGATGGTGAGTGTTGCTTGTTTCAAGATGATTTATTTTCAGTATTTACATGTGATGTCTGATTGCAGATACTGGCTGCCGATAAGCTGACATCTTTATCTCATTACTTGCTCTGTTGCTCACTCCTTTGTTTATTCTTTTTTTCTTTTTGTAGGAATACAATGACACATTATTGATTACGTCTTTAGCTGTGCTTACCAACTGCTCAAGGTATGAACTGAACTGAACTTTTCAATGTCGATCATTCTATTACAATAGAATCCTGTAAGAGCTATTTTAACAAGATAGAAGATAAACAGTACAGTGTCAACGTAAACTATTCTATGTCAAACCATTTTGATGCTAGGTATGAAATTGTGGTCTTACACCTGGAATATTGTTTATTCAATGGGAGTTGTCATAGGGTTTAGCATACAAATAAGGTTCGAATCTATGATCACAATCATACTAATGCACTTACCAAGTTTGCACTCAGAGCAGGTGTATATTGTGTCGATATTCGCATTGAGGGATTATTATACTACAGTAGTTGAATGACTTTTTATCACCTTTTCATTGTTACCATAAGCAATGCATTAGTTGAATATGAAATTGTAATTGTCATTTCATAGCTTATTGTGATATTGTAACAAGATTTTATTTTGGTTTTCTCAGTACAATGAACGAGCTAGTCGACAAGTTCAACACTGCATATGACAGGCATACTCGAAGGGGTGGACGGACCACTTTTTTCTGAAAGCATCTTTGCCAATCTGGCAGTCTTTAGTTTCTTTGAGAACATTTTGGGTGCTGCTATTTTGTTTTTTGACTCTGCATAGCACATAGAAGCTTAGAAATTATTGCCAAGACCTAGACAATTCAGAAAGAAATATAAATCTCATAGCTCTCTCTCTCTCTCTCTCTCTCTCTCTCTCTCTCCCCCTCATATTATACCAATGAAAAAATATCATTAAAATAGTTCCTTATTCAGACATCAGTGTACGGATTGAAAAAGAAAAAAGGAACAAAAGGACAGGAGTGTCGGGGCTGTGTGCATCTCTGCCTTTAGAAAACCCACAAAGTCTCGTTGACCGGTATCTTTGAGACGGATTTGGCATCTTCCTTTATCAAATTAAAATACACTGAAAAAAAAACCCATAGCCCAAAGAAAAGTTGCACATAAACCAACCAAACTCTAAACGAACTGCACATCACACTTGAAGAACCGCCGCAATCCGGCCAGCAACAGCAAAGCAGGAAAACAGTTTACTTTGCATCAAATTCCAAATGCCGTATATTGGCTCAGCAATTTAAGCTGTGACCATCACAAGCAACCTACATTAACAATGCACTGACTAATTAGGGTTCAAATAGACAGTTCGGATGAGGAGACAAGGATGCCATCTCCATCCGCGTACAACCATTCTCCCTCTTGAATCAAGACGCCTCCAATACTTACAGGAACATGCTTTTGGCCAGACCCAGAGTCGTTTTTGATAGGTCTCACTGGACAAGTTGCCAAAGCTCTCAACCCAATCTCACATTCATTGATCTCATCCACATCTCTCACGCAACCATTTATCACAATCCCAGCCCATCCCATAATCTCAGCCGACCGAGCCAGCATCCCTCCGGTGACAGCACGTCGCATGCTTCCTCCTCCATCAACCACTAAAACCCTACCCTCGCCTTTCGTGGAGAGAAGCTCTATAACCAAAGTATTGTCCTCAAACACCTTCAGCGTCACGACAGGGCCTGCGAATGCCTGCCATTTTCCATATTTCTGGAACACTTGCGGCACAAGACGCAGGTCTCCACTGGCCAGAAGGTCAGGATGTGCATCGCAAATGTCGGTTGTTGCTAAAGCAGCGGCCGCCAGGTTTCTCCTGTACTCCGAGGACACGCCAACAACCTGAAATCTCTTCTCGAGGTTTAGCCAAAGCTCACGCGACGAAGCGAGTCCTGCTGTGAATGGGAGGACGTGTTCCGAACATGTTGACCTCATCCAGGTTAACATGGCCTGATCCTTGTCGTGCCAAATCTCAAAGGCTGGATTAATTTGATCAGTGAGATCATTTCCTTTCTTGTCCGTCAAGAACTGAGCTGGACAAGGTTCGCTGCCATTAATAATTCCCATGAGCTTGTAACGACTAAAGATTTGCTCGAAAAGTAGCTTCCAGAAAAAGTAATTCTGGCGCTGCAGCTTTGCAGGTATCACTGTAGCTATTTTCTTTAGGGTGACAGAGGTATATGAATATCCTTGAATTCCACGGCTAGTAGGAACAGATTCGATCATTGTAGTTTCAATGTGTTTAATTGATTAGCTATAAAGAGTGTTTGTTTGGCTAGAAAATAGGAAAGGAAAATTTCTATTGATAGAGAACTTGTAATGCCCTACTTGAGGATTTTAATTGGTTGCAGCTGCTGGAAGATCGAATCTGGGTAAGGCCCCTCAAAAAGATTTGATAAAATTTAATATTTGTAATAATATTGGAGAGATTATATAAATAAGCCACATTTGTTTTCTTTTCTTACAAAAAGTTTCTCATGCATTGAAAACGAGACCAACTTGAAATAGAATACAAGCCACATGACACATGCGGTGCGGGGTTCAAAATATTTTTCCTTTTCTGCCGAGGTGTCAAGTATATTCTATTGATCAAAGGTGCAATAGTGCATAGCTCAGTCGGTCTCTTCCACCTCCACTCACATGGGAAGAGATTCAAAAATCATAGTTACCCGATAAATATTTGTGTAAACCACCATCCCCAATTGCTTGTACCAAAAAAAACCGCTCCTAATCAAGGCTTCATGTTCAAAGTTCCAGTAATGAGTGTTTTCTTCCAGTTTATTGTTAAAAAAAATATAGCCTAGATTAGTTGTGCACCTAGGGCTTTCCTGATTTTGTGAATTCCCTATCATATCTAAAGTCATATCTATGGCTGGTGTGTGAGTTTGTATATGTTATATGCCCATTAGACTTGCCTTTTGTTCAGGCTTGGTAATTTTGAAATAACTAGGCTGTTGTTTCAGCTTCTTGCTTGGCATATTGAGAATATCCATTTGACTAGTTTTCTATCAAAGACGACCCCTCACATTGATGATGTTGTGCTAGAATTTTATCTATTACAGGCCCTCCTTTCTCACTGTTGTTTAAAATCAAGAAAAGACCAACTCGATATCCAAAAATAGTTTTGGTTTTGGATATATGCAATGCAATAATAACTTCTGGATGTCTATAGAAGCACTCAAAACAGAAACAAACAAAAAACAATTAAAATTTAGCTATATGAATGCATTGATAACTTTTGGATGTTGGTGTTACAGCTTCATATATATGGATGAATTCTTACAATAAAATGGGTTCATCAAATAAGATAGAGAAACAACTCTTCGTATAAGGGGGGGGTTTCATTGAGGATATCCAGCTCTATGGAATTGCCATCCATCATAACATCCCATTTCACAGCCCTCCAAACATATTGTCAGCCATGGCCTCTGGTTATGAATTTTGCTAAGAGTTGGATATCCTTTGCTAGCAAGAGGTGTGCCCCCAATACCAAGCCAGTGTAGTCCAGGGAAGGAAGGCCTCTTAAGAAACCTCAGTGAATTAACAGACAAACCAATGCATTTCAGAAGGTCAAGCCTCCGAAGTAGTTTACATTCGTCCCGAAACGTTTTCCTCATAGCCAAACAATCTAGAGAAACATCAGTCACAGAGCAATGCCGGAGACACAACTCAGTAATCTCAGTACCAGCCATGGCAATTGTAAAAATGGCTTCATCTGATATTCTAGGCATGTGTCCTAAATCCAGGGCTGACAATGTTTTGTGAATTGTGCCTCCACCATGGAACAAAAAAGAAATTCCCTCATCAGTCACCCTCTCACAGTGTCTGAGACACAAATGTGTTATGGATGGAATCCCCTGGGCAAGAACCGATAAGCCATAATCTGTAATATCAGCTCCTGCGAGATTCAGCATACTTAAGCTACGAAGGGATGAAATGGAACCAAGGCAGGAATCTGCTATGCTCCTACACCCACACAGGTCAAGCACCTCCAGGACCCTAGAACGGGTCAGCTGCTTCACGGTTTCACTAGTTATAAGACTGCAGGACAGCAACTTCACCTCAACAAGGGAACATTGGAACTCAGTAACATCAAGAAAGGCCAAGTCTGACAAAAAAAAGGCATTCCGAGCTTCAAACTTCTTCAACTTCAGACACGAGTGTAAGATCGATGCATAACCTGCATCACTGACTTTGGAAAACCCACAGAGTCTCACTGACTCTAGACATTTACAGACCTCAGATAGAAGAAACATGCCCATATCGTTTACCCTTTTGAATGAGACTTGCTGGTTATGTCTACTTCGTATAAGAGACAATCCCATCAAATGATGGAAAGAGGCCAAATATTGAAGCCCGGTGTTGGTTAAGTCATGATTTGGTAATGGTTGCTTAACTGGTCTGTCTTCAAGATCTAGCTCTACCAAAGCGGGGAGATTTCCGGAAATGGCCATGATTAGCTCATCGGATATAGCATCTAAGACAAGGGACAAGCGCTGCAATGTGAATACAGATGATAATGGAGAGACGGGGATGCTGACATGAGCTGTTTGCACACTGTTCCTATCAGCACCAACTCTAATCTTATCCATGAGACGAATTACATCTTGCTCAAGCACTGACTGCAACTTCATACTTTTGAGAGCACTAGGCAGGAAGAAATCAATGGACTGAAAAGCATTTGCTCCTACATCTCTCCCTCGAATCTTAAGAGAAAAAGACTGTTTGATTACCAAAGAAACAAACTTTAGCTTTTATACATTCCTTTTCTCATGAAACATGCTTTCTCATATGAAGTTTTACATTATATATCAAAGAGCAGCATTCAGACACAATAATATTACCTCCAAGCACAAGCATCCATTAAGCATTTGGTCCAGGTTGGTCTTAAATGCTTCAGTTGAGCACTGGTCTACCAATTCTAACACAAGCACCCTAACAAAAACCTTCTCGTTACAGAAAAGATCAAGATGCAATCTTGGGTTGGGCAAAACTAGACAAAATATCAAAATGGATTACCTGAGATTGGGGCAGGCCTCCCCGATGGAAGTGAAGACTTGATAGGACAGCAGGGAGCAGCTTAACAAATTCAGTTCTTGAAGATGTGTGCCCAGAATAACTCCGAGTGACAAATTGTCAAGGTGGAGACAATTTAGGGTGAGGCTGTGGAGGCCCCTGCAGCCACCAACAATACTATTCAGAATCTGAGCATCAGGAGAAAATGCCTGCATATACAATTGCAATTGCCATTCTTTTTATAATTTTCAGTTCACAAAACAAAAGGCAAATAAAAGAAACCCAAGTAGAATTCAGAAAGAAAAAGACTTTACAGAGAGATTGATAGACGAGAGTAAAGGCAGGGCCTGAGAGACTGAGAAGCTCATGGCTTTGTTAACGCATGAAACTGAGCACAGAGCCTCTATTTCCAACTTGAGCAGAACTTCCTCTATCAATAAGCTGCTGGGCAGTCTCTCCAAACCCATCCTCCTTTCTTCTTTTCGCTTCTTCTGCTCCATCTTCTCTAATTTGGCATCAACAACTGCCCGGTTTCGACCTATCTGTATGAAGAAGAACTAGTTTTGGGACTAGTCACCATGGGGTTTACAAGGCTCTTTCTTTACGGGCTTTTCGACCTATCCGTATGAAGAAGAACTAGTTTTGGGACTTGTCACCATTGGGTTTACAAGGCTCTTTCTTTTCGGGCTAACCCAATAACCCATCGCCAATGCAAAGCAATTTAACAAAAAGGCAAAGCCCATGAAGTCACCAGTCCATTCATGTAGTTTTATATGATAGTTGAATCTTGAAGAAACCTAATGTGTTGCTACTATTGGAGAAAAGTTGCAACGGGGATGGTAATGTTTTGCCATTCCTGATAAATAATGTTGTCATATGAAAGTGTTATCACGCGTGTCATAGCATTATTCGTCAGGTATTGCAAAATAGTGTTATCCCCGTTTCATGGAACCCTTTTTCCTAATATTGGCAATATGGTGTCATAATTGAATAATAATTGAAAATACTCGGCCATACCAGCTGATAAAAACTAACACATTCTTTTGTTGATAAAGAAAATTTAATGCGTACACAGATGCTAACAAAAGTGAAATAACAAGTTCCAAATACAATTGACTTCAGAACTCAGTGCTCTTATTGGTTTGACAGTTTACATGTGAAGCAACAATGCTGATTCAAAGAGACAATTCAGATGTGGAGATGAGGATGCCATCACTATCTGCATACAACCATTCGCCTTCACGAATCAAGGTTCCTGCAATGTTGATCGGAATATGCTTTTCGCCAATGCCTTTTTTGCTTGATTTCACCGGATGAGATGCCAAAGCTCTCACCCCAATATCACATCCGTTTATCTCATCTACATCTCTGATGCAGCCATTTACCACAATACCAGCCCATCCCATGTTTTGAGCCAACTGTCCCAAATTCCCCCCAACCAAAGCACATCTCATGCTTCCTCCACCATCAATTACTAAAACTCTTCCCTCACCTCTGGTTTCCAGAAGCTGTCTTACTAAAACATTGTCCTCGAATACCTTAAGTGTGACAATGGGGCCTGAGAATGCTCGGCATTGTCCGTATATCTGGAATATTGGTGGCAGAACACGCAAATCTCCACTTCCTAAAAGGGCTGTATTCGTATCACAAGCTTCAGCAGTTGCTAAGGCGGCCATATTTCTCCTGCAGATACAGTCAACATATCATTAAAATGCGGTACAAAAAATAAAACTACTTTAGCACAAGTTCAACAAGCCTTTGTAATAGTTTCTAGACTTTTATCTCCCTTACAATATTGCTGGAATACTTAAGAGAAAACAGAGGGCCTAAAAGAACCATATGTTATGTACACGCAAATATAGCACCGGCGTCATGCATAGAATTGTCCTACGTATCACTAGCTTAGTAAATTTATTGACCATATTTACACTCCATATAACCAAATAAGGAAAAGAACATAGCTTTTTGAACTTTCCACCTCTCATCTTCCACCTATCTTCATTATCATCTTCACCTCAGTTCTACACACTTCAAAACTATGGAGGCAAGGGATTTGCTACATTGTACAACTTAGCTGAGGGAGAGAGAGCTAGATTTGATATATGTGTGTGTCTTTCTGTTTCAGATCATCACACTTCACAAAGGAGAAACTAATTTATCTATGGCTCCTGCTATCAGAGCTTATGTTGCATGAACACCAAAAATAAATATATCCACAATGTTTATTGACATGAGGAGAGACAAAGACCAACTTCTTTATGCACAAATGTGTTTGCAATTGCATTTCAACAACATTCGGGATTGCGGACATTCAGAACTATAAATTATGAAAGAATTCAGGATTGGCATCTCTGTTCTCCCCATCAGCAGCTTCAGTACAATCACCTAATCTCAACCCATACATCAAATTTGGATTTTGAGAGAGACAGAGTGACAATCACCCAACACCTCTGCCTTCAATGTTTTCTTTCCCAATGCATGCATCAAGAACAGAATCATAGAAGCATGAGTTAAAACCAATTGAAAGTCAAAGCCCCATCTTCAGATGAAATCTAGAGAAAGCTAATCAGGCCAAGCTCAAATCTTCCTAGATGCCACAAAAGTGGAATGAGCAGCAGAAGATTAAAGAATGTTTTAGTTAACAGAAGGACAAAAAGATCCATTAGATCCATTGAAGATCGCATACTGGGATGGGATGAATACTTTTGATCAAGTGAGTAGATAGAGGCACAAATTGACAAAATTTTATTTAGATATAAAACTTAACAAAGAAAACTTCAATGAAACCTGAGGGTAATAGGAATAAATTTTTCATTTAAACTTCAATAATTACTGCTGCTCTAATTATATAATGAACTAATTGGTAACAACTGACAAGATGCTAACTTCCAGAAACCATGAATATGATATTAGCATTTAGCATTGAATTGAAACAAATAAATAAATAAAATAAAACCAAAATACAAAAAAAAATCGATCTTGAGATTCTTGACAAGACTTTGTGACAAGAAAAGCTGAAAACAAGAAACTGAAGCTTACCCAATAAAGAATGAAATGGCTGTATGAAGGTGGAGAGCTTTGGGGTTTAATCTTCACCCATCAAATGTGAAAAAGGGTCTCTTTGAATTGTGATGGTGGTGGTGGTCAGCGTTTTCTCTTCTTCTATCTTTGCTCAGTCAAGTCTTCGTTCTTTAATATATTGTGAAGTACAAAAAGAGTCAGAAGCTGATATCAGCCTCCCAGTACTAGTTACCAATTTCTTAGTAGATTATCCTCTTGGTTTTTGTGCCTCTGTAAAATTGCACCAGGCGCCAAAGGTAGTTGGTCCTATGTTTTCTTTTTTACTGAGAACGATTTCAATTCCCATTGACCCAAAAATAAATAAATAAATACTGTAATTCCAAACTAACTTACCCTCCTTTAGAGCAAGTCCAATCCCAGAAGACTAAGACAAGGCAAGGACTGTCATTATTTACGTGGATAGTGGCAGCCTTACTTTTTTTGAGTTCCACCCCAAAAGGCTAGGGTAATGGCAAATACTATTCATTCTACTTTATTTTTTATTTTTTTTATACTTAAATTATTAATTTTGATAAGCTTTGTAGATAATATTTTCGGTTGTCACGTGTCACTATTTATTATAAAATTCTCACTTAAAATTTCAGATAACATTTTTCGGACAAAATTTTCAAATTAAATTTTCGGTTGCCACGTGTCCATATTTATTATAAAATTCACATCTCACTCATCATACAATAAAAATACCTACTCACTCATTATACAATTGAAATATTCTCGGTCTTCATAGTCCGACACAATGGAGTACAAGAACGACTCAATCATTGACGGAGGCGGTTTCACTAAATCACAACGTGAGAGAGTATTTTCCTTCGGAGGACATAATAGTGTCATAATTTCATACACGGAACGCACCATTGGAACCAACTGCAAGCATTGTCCACTTGAGGAGCCATGTGTAATGGTTTTCCTCTTTTTTGTTTTGCCTTGACTAATCTATTAAAAAATGAAATTGGAAATGCAAGAAATATATGAATAAAAAATGACATTAAATTGAATAAAAAGGAAATATTTTTTTTACCTCGTTGCCAAGATTTTGACCTCTTCGAACATTTGTCCACGACCCTCCAGCTTCGATGGAAGAGGTCATTTGTATTTTTGCACAAATGAAATTTTGGTGTGGAAAGTGAAAAATATTGGAAGGAGATGAGTTTGTATGAAGATTTGGTATGGAAAGTGAATAAAATTGTTAGGTATTTATAGGGAAAAAATCCAAAATTTTTTTGTATTTTTTTGCAATTTTTTAACCAAAAAAATCAAAGCCATCATATTTATAGAAAATATTGCATCGGAGCGTTCAGGAAGCACCACGTGGCATATTCCCGTTGGGGCCTATCAGCGCTGACGTCAATGAGCAAAAATCACTCGCCAACGGTAAAAAAAAATTGATTTTTGCTTGCTGACGTCAGCACCTTCGGGCTGAAGCCCAAGCAAGATCTGCCCGTGAGCTTGCCCGAGCTCATTTGGCTGCACTAGAGTTGGATTTGGGCTGGCGGGGGGCATGTTGCCCTGGCAGGGCTTGTGCGCTGGAGGTGCTCTTATGCATGGCCTGCATGGGATTGGCCCAGATCAAGTCAAAGGAATTAACTTCTAGGCCTAGGCAAGGTCTAATTTTTGGGCTTAGTTTTAAGCGTTGGGCTGCCTTGAAGTTTAATCTCATGGGCTGTTGACTAGTCTTACGGGTCAGGTTGTGTTAAGCCCAGGCTAAAGGAGAGAATGTCGCTCAAACCCTACACGTAGTTTGACAAAGAAAAGGGAGTTTCTATAATAAGAGAGCTATGTTGAGGGTTTCAATTTAGCCATTCAACAATAGTTTTGTAATTCATCATATGGCTATTAAGGACCCCCTAACGAACGAGTAGTTTTTGAATTATAATTTAGGTCGATCCAACCCAACCCACAACTTTGACCCAATATATAAAACTTCAAATTCAGCTCCACCAAGTCCAATCCCAACCAGGCCCAAATTAGGTCTAGCCAAAAATTAGGTGGCATGCATGAACTTGGTTGTATCGAATTATTTTTGCATATGTGTCAAATTGTGATTAGCATGAATGAGAAGTATCTCCTTACAATGAAGAAAATAAGTATTATCCTTTATAAAGAGACCTCGATTATCACGTAATTCAAATGAATAATAAAATCTTTCTTGATGTATTTTATTTGCTAGAGAAGAGCAAATTTTTTTAATTGATAAGATTTAATAAGCTAGATTCGCATACATGTTGAAGACAAGATGGAAAAAACTTGTAATAAGTTGTAACAATATAAAGAGAGGTACAACAGACAAATCCTTTTTTATGCAACGTTTACTATAATATATCTCAGTTTCCTTTTTATTTGGTAAATGTTGAACCTTGTTGATGTATTGAGAGTCGATCTCAATTTTTTTTAAATAAATATATTTGTGTTGGGATTTGAAGACTGTGTTTCCGAAAACCACCAAGGAATATATCCCACTT